ACTTAGCCAGTGATCTTGACCATGTACAACATCCCAATGTGATTGTGTTAGAAGAGAAAGTACCTTCTCCTCATTATTCTTATTTCTGGCTCTAAACAACCAGGCATTGATATAGACGTGTTTCTTGAGCCTTTGATGCAAGAAATGGAGAGGTTATGGAGGCATGGGGAGCCAATGTACGATGTGTTCTGAAAGGAGAACTTCATATGTAGATGAATAATATTTGTTACTACCAATGATTACCCCACGTTGTTTGCTTTGTCTGGACAGATCAAAGGGAAGACATGATGCTTGGTTTGCTTAGATGGTATTACATGGGTGTACCTGGATGCATCCAAGGAGATAGTTTACCTAAGGAACCGATGCTTTTTAAAGACAAGTCACAAGTACCATAGCAAATTGTTCTTTAGATTTTATGACAACACCCCGGAGATTGAACCCCCTCCAGAGAGACGTCATAACAAAGAACACGTGTACAGAATGGTGAAAAACATACGCGTCATCTATGGAAAGAAGAATCCGGATGGGATGAACAGAGATAGAAGCACACCTCCTGTCGAAGGCGTACCTTTTAAGAAACAATCGATCTTCTTTTAGTATCTACCTTATTGGCCAGACTTGGGGGTCCCCCATGCCATTGATGCTATGCACGTGCAGAAGAATGTCTTTGAGAGTCTCATTGCTACCTTAATGGACACAGGCAAGTCAAAGGATGGTCTGAAAGCATAGAAAGACATGGTGCAGCTAAACATGATGCCACAGCTTCACTCGATACCTGAGGCTAATGGAAAATACACTCTGCCCGCGGCGTGCTTCAACCTAACACCAGACGAGAAGAGAGCTATATGCACTTTCCTGAGGGGGTCAAAGTCCCGACTGGGTTTTCAGCAAATGTGAAGAAGCTAGTGTTGATGAAGGACTTGTCAGTAATACACTATAAGGCTCATGATTGTCATGTGATGGTGACAGTGTTTCTACCTATTACAATCAGGGCTATAAAGCCAGAGTTCTTGAAAATGGCCATTACCCGCATGTGCTACTTCTTTTCGAAGATCTCACAGAAGACGATTGGCAAGCAAGAGCTGAGTGACCTACATGAATTTTTGGTGGAGACACAAAACCAACTAGAGATGTGTTTATCTCCTGCTTTTTTTGATATAATGCCACATCTCATGATTCACATGGTTCATCAGATACATGTGTTGGACCCTTGCTACTTGCATGAAATGTGGTCCTACGAGCGGTTCATGTCAGTTCTAAGTCGATACGTGCATAATCGAGCATACCCAGAGGGCTCCATGATAGAGGGTTACAGTACTGAAGAAGTCGTTGAGTGCTGTCAAGAGTACCTAAAAGTACAGAAAGGGATTGGTAAACCCGATTCTCGTCACAAGGGTAAGCTGGCTGGGAAGGGCACCAGTGGTAGAAAAGTGTTCATCGACCATGATTACAAAGAGGTGAGTCGGGCGCATTACAGTGTCTTGCAGAGTACACAACTGATGCAATCATATATTGATGAACACTTGGCTATCATTATGGTGAAGAGAAATGGTTGTTCGGATGATTGGGTCATGAAACAGCACAAGCAACGATTAACTACATGGTTGAATGACCAAAACATACTGCCTAGAGAAACCATAGACTCTATTACCATCAGTAGGTTGGCGGAGAGGCCATCGAGACAAGTGACATTTTGGAATGCTTATGACATCAATGGGTATACATACTATACCCACGCAAAGGATAGTAAATATGTGAACCAAAATAGCGGCGTTCAAATAGAGGCCCTCGATGGATTGGGGCAAAAGATCCAATATTTTGGCATTGTTGAAGAGATATGGGAACTTGACTATAGAAGAGATATAATGGTGGCCCTGTTTCGATGCCGTTGGATCAAACAACACCAACTGAACGAGATCAGATTGAGAGTCCTGGACCTCGAGAATCTAGGCTACCAAGATGACCCTTGGGTGCTCACTCCACGTGTCGCACAAGTTTTCTATATGTCTAACCCACAAAGTAACCTCCCCCCAAAGAAGAAGACAAAGCACGTGGTTGCCTCGGGAAACAGCACATTATCGAAATTGATGGCGCGGAAGATGTTGAATCCTACAATAACTACGATGAGATACCGCTATTCACAGACTTTCCTAAGAAGATCAGTGTTGTGGAAAAGAACCTACCCAAAGACATATTGCAATGGGAACGAAAAGGTGTCAAGGAGAAAGTCGTTATAGTGGGCTAACTAGTTGTTGAACGTGGAGTGTTTGTGTAAGTGTGTATTTGTTAGACTTTATTTATGCATGTGTGTGAGACTATATATTTATGTATGTGTGTAAGACTATATATTTTTGTATGTGTGTGAGACTACATTTATACATGTGTGTGAGACTACCCTTTGTAACATTCAGATGAATCTATTTCAACATCCGATCTATTACTACTAAAACTTTATGAAATCACTTAACACTTTATGAAATGAAGAAATGACCAAAATAAAAGTATGAGATCTTGACGAGTTATACAACTTTTATATTGATCACCTTTACAGTTGAAATCATTTAGTGGTTGAAAATCAGGTTTGAAGCTATCATTTTCTGAAATTTAAAATTTGAACTGTTCAAATTTTATCAAATAAAAAGATGACCAAAAAAAGTTGTAGATAGTGATGTGTTCAATAACTTTTATATTCATCACCTTTACAGCTGAAATTATTTATTGGTTGAAAATCAGGTTTAAAACTGTCATTTTCTGAAATTCAAAATTTAAATTGTTCAAAATTAGTGACAAACATATATGACTAGACTCAAATGATAGAGCGTGATTTTAGAAAATTTTTGAAAAAAAAACCATCATTTGGAGTTAGTATGAGGGAGAAAAACTAGTTACAAGTTTCAGCCATAGATTAAAAAGAGAAATCACGCTTGTTCATCATTGATCATCATGAACAGTTGTGATTTTTCTTTTAATCTCTGGATAAAATTTGTAACTAGTATTTCTCCCTCATACTAACTCCAAATATGATGATTTTTTTTCTTAAAATTTTTAAAATCATGCCCTATCAAGTTACTGTGTCGATTTAGTCATTCTTTTTATTCGACAAAGTTTGAGACATTCAAAATTTTAAATTAAAAAAAATGACAAGTTCTAACGAGATTTTAAAATTTAAATGATTTCAGCTGAAAAAGTGATGAATACCAAAGTTGTATAACTCATCAAGATCTACAACTTTTATTTTGATCATTTTTTCATCTAATAAAGTGGTGGTAAACATTGTTCATAAATCAACATGTTTCTCGTATATTTCATGAAAACTATGAGTCATATGTGAATTTGTGAACAATATTTACTAATACTTTGTTACATGAAGAAGTGACTAAAATAAAAGTTGTAGACAGTGATGAGTTCAACAACATTTGTGTTCACAACTTTTATTGTTGAAATCATTTAAGGTTTCAAAATCTTGTTTGAAGTTGCCATTTATTGAGATTCAAAATTTTAACTGTTCAAATTTGGTCAAATGAAAGGATGATCAAAATAAAAGTTGTACATATTGATGAGTTCTACAACTTTGGTATTTATGAGTTTTTCAGCTGAAATTATTTACTCTTTCAAAATATTGTTTCAAGTTGAAATTGTTTGAATTTCAAATTTTGAATTGTCCAAAAAAAGTCACATGACAAGATGACCAAAATAAAAGGTGTACATGTTGATGAGTTATACAACTTTTATGTTTACAACATTTTCATTTTATTTCATTTAATGTCATAAAATTATAGTCGAAGTTTTAAAATTCAAAATTTTAATTTTTGTTTTTTTGTTTTCTATATTGTTTTGACTACAATTATTTATATATATTTCTGCATATATATAATAATACAAAATATTATATTTGTGCATATATATAGTTGTTTTTATATTACTTTGTGTTTTTGTGATATAAAAATGCAGAATTAATAATTTAATAAAATAGAAAATATTTGTAGTGGTGGCTATATCAGGAACCGTCCCTACAAATGCATTGTAGGGGCGGCTGGATTAGGAACCGCCCCTACAAATCGTCCTGGGTATATAACCACAGGCGCTCGGGTGACAAAGTGTTGGGCGTTCTCTTCTTCCTCCCGACGCCGTCAGGCTACCCAACTTTTTCCCCGGCGCCCCGTCGCCACCGCCTCCCGGACCTCTCCCGACGCCGGCGCCCCCTCTCCGCACCCCCGGGCCACAGCTCGACATCCCCGGGCCACCACGACGCCGCGCGCCCCATCTCCACGACGGCTAGGGTTTTAGAGCCCCCGGCCGGCCGACCCGTCGCCTCCTCCCCATCTCCGTGCCGTCCACATCCACGAGCCGGTCCGCCGCAGCCTCGTTTCTGACCTTGAGGTGCCGCAAGCTTGCTCCCCGCCCTCCCGCGGCGAGCGGCCATGGTGCCCGAGCTCTCCGGCATCCGCACTCCTTCCCTAGCGTCCACACCTCCAACGGCGGGCGGCCCGGTTGCCCGTGCTCTCCGGCGTCCGCGCACCTCCACCGGCGTCCGCGCTCCTCCACAGCTTTCCCTACACCTGATAGGTTCGGATCCACCACTGCTGCTGCTCGCTGCTCCATCACTTGCTCCTGACGCTTTACCCAATGTGCATTGCCTTGGTTTGTCAATGCTTGTGTGCTTATTTGCGTAAATGCTCATTGCATACATGGCAAATTGGTAAGGTATAGCAATATTTTTTTTTTTGCTACTGCTGCAATCTGAATCAATGTGTTATATAGAATCATAGCTGTTGTCTCTGAACCAATCTGTAGACATCAATATAACCTGGGAGGACCAATTCTTTAGTTAGTTTTATGCCTCTCACCCTCTCAGTACCTATCCAAGACAGTAATGAAGCTTTTTTTCGCTTTGAGTCTATAGACACTCAGTCACCACCTAGTCACAATGGGCATTCTTTTATTACTCTAGCTTACCGGATCCATTAAATCATATTACATCACAACAAGACACATTCAATTTAATAGTACAGAGCAATGTTTGGCCTTTTAGTTGATGACTGCATACATACCAAATCAGGAATACAATGCACAGAAACAATGAAACAGGGATCATGAAAATTGACAAATAAAGGTGTGAATGAGAACCGAAAAGAACAGCATAAAGACCATACCTCATATGAGCTCCCCTGGTCATCAGATCCATTGGTGACAGGAGTCTCGGCCTCCGAAAGAATAACTGGAGACAGTGGAGCCCTGATAGCAATGTACTCCAATTCCGGACTGGGTTTCTCTGTCCTGTCATCACCAGAAGCTTCCTTTGCTGTATTTCTTCCAGAATGTAGAATAACCGGAGGTGTTGAAACCACCTCATTTTCGAGCATCACAACAGTCTTCTCAACCACCACATTATCATCACTGCTGTTCATCCTCGAGATGTTACCGTTAGTTTCCTTTACACCAGCAGTTTCTGTTGTAGGAAGAGCTTTAGCTCCAGGTGAAACCTCTTTTTTTCTCTACTAGCTACTGCATTTTTCACAACAGCAGGAGCTTGCGGGTATTTGACCTTCAGTTCTGGTAGTGTTGCTAATTTACTCTGGTCAAGCTGCATTATAGCTGAAATTTTCTTTGTCTAGGTATCTTGTGGCATGCTTTTTCTCCGTGGGTGGTCCGCGCTTGCTGACTTGGAATTCAAAGGATATATCTCGTGTCGTAGAATTTTTTGTTCGCGACACCGATTTATATTTTGCTGGTTTTCGTCGTGGGGTGGTGGCGGCCGATGGAGCTGAGCCACAACGGGGTACACTATTCATTTTTGTTGATTTGTACCTTGAGGCTCCTTTTTTTGATGCAGTGAAAATGGGCATCAACTCCAGCCATACAAGAAAAAGGGTAAAACTCATCCAAACATTCAAATTATTGTTTTTTGACTGGTTTATTCGAATTAATTGATAAACTGATATGAGTTAACACATGCCCTTTTATCTTTGATTGAAAGAGATGCTCCTGGACCTGAGGCGATCATGGCGCTTTTTAACACCTTCTTCAGTTTTGAAGATGATGTTCAGATGGGCCATGACAGAAATGGGAACCCTCAGGCTAGATTTCCTGGAAATGTCAAAGAAGCTATGAAGACTGCGGTTGCTAGGATTATCATTGTATTCTGTGAAGCACTTCGGCTGAAGACCATATACACCGCGGTGAAAGAAGCTCTTGAGTCTATCGACTTTGCTAGGCCTTTACCGGAGACATCCTGGAAGCTGATAAGGTGGTGGGGACAGCTGTCCGATGATGTTCAAACAATGAGGATGCATCACAATATGGCCCTGCACAATAATCCGCCGAGGAGTGAAAACTTGCAGATAGTTGGGATTAGCACGCTCGACCATGTAATTGGTGCGAATGGTGAGTTGACTTTCTGCAAACTACACAAGATGGTGGTCATCACTGAAGAAGACATGCTCAGACTGCAAAATGACATAGCAGCAGTTAACTTCGTCGATCCCACGTTTTGGGAGCAGCAGCAGCAGCAGCAAGACGAGGTGCAGGAGCTTCAGGAGGAAGAAGGAGGTGGAAGAGGAAGAGGAAGAAGAGGGAGAGTGAGAGGAGCAGCTCACGGTGGACGAGGAAGAGGGGAAGGCAGAGGAGGAAGAGGTGGGGAGGCAGAGGTAGCAGCTGGGGGTAGAGGCAGAGGAGGAAGAGGAAGAGGCGGAGGCGGAGGAGGAAGAGGATGGTGAAGGCATGAGTGTGGCAGCCGACTGGAGGAGGCTGCATGTTGCTGTGCTTCATTAACAGTTTAACACTGTTCTGTTCGGTTCAAGATTTTACTTGTATTACTATTAATCGCTGAAAAATTGTATTGTCATGCTATGCCTTGTCACTTTTGCTTGTGTTAATTCCAATTAAAAAATCCTTTTAAAATGTATTATGCCATAAAAGATGATAAGTATGCTTGTTCTTGTATGGTTCCAGTTCTCGGTGAAATCATCAACACAGGCTACAGTTGTAGCACAGGCATCAGGCCATCGGCTGTCCCTGCCAACTCAAAATGCAACAATTTAGAAGAATGACACCGAAATCGGTTGCAGGAATCATGAATGCAAGGTTGCCTTCTCACTGTCAGTGATCTGGGCCACTCCGTAGTTGGAGAAGGTGAAGCAGATCTCGGAGCAGCCAGCGGTAGCACCGACCGTGGCGGCGCACACCTCGTTCGGCACTTGACTGTGCAGAACCACCCAGGGTGGGCGTGGCCCTCCCTGCAGCCATGGTAGCAGTCTCAGGGTAGAGCCATGCAGAGAAAGTGTTGCAGAGACGAGTGCAGATGAAAGCAAATGCAGGGGAAGTTGAAATGGTGAGATGCTTACCAGTTACCAGCGAGTGTTTCTTCAGAAGCTGGGACTTGAGGGGGGTTCTGTGATGTCTACTGCTCACTTGGTGTGGTGGCACTCACATGATGTCGTCCATTTATAAATATAAATATTGCTGGAGCCAAGGCTTGGAGTCTTTCTGGTGTACATTCTTGCAGAAGCCTTGGAGAGGTTGCTATGCACAGTCTAACAGAGGAATGCCATGCTCGCTCTGGATCTCCTGTTTCTGACAGAGGAATGGATCAACACATTATCAGAAGCATGCATTTTGATTTGATTTGCACAGAAGGACATTGTTGGTTGGTTAAGTGTCTGAACCTATAAATATGTTGCCAGGGTAAGAGCAAGAGAGTTGTTGGTTGTAACACGATCTTAGTCGTTTCAGATGTTCAGTTGTGAGTCAGTCTGAAAGAGAAGAATTGACACAAGTATGTGAGCTTCTGGGTGGCTTCAGCATGTGCAACAAAACAAATATCAAATACATCTGTATACTGTAGCAATTGTGAGGCAGCGAACATATAATCTAACTATGTTCATAAACCAAAAGCCTGCTTTGAATGTGATACACATCAGACTCAGGACAAAATGCAGATTTATCAAAGTTTATATGAATGAAAAAATCTCTTGCGTAAGATTTGCTTTGTGAGGAACAGATAGCAGGAGCGGCGAGATCAGGTTGCAGCGACCGTTGACCTGATTCAAGAGCACCGCACCTATGGCTCATATGATGCGATGCTAGATGACATCCATCTGCATTATCATTTGGTAGCTTCTTAGATCTTCATTTCATCATTACCAGCCACGCGTGGGAGATACGGAGTTCAGAATGACGGCCCAAACTATCGTCATCATCAGTCATCACGAGGCTCCTCCCTTGCAGGAACGGCCCTCAGCCTATCCCTATATCTGCGGTGAAGGACAATCTTAATGATCGAGTTAGTTTTTTGTTTGGCGCCTCTCATCAGACTCGCACTAACCCTACACACGTACACCACACTCACACCACGCACGTCACATTAGGCAACATAATTTTTATGGGGATAAACCCCGGTGAAAGACGCAAGTGCGATTCCTGAGAATCAAACTCGCGCCGGCTGCATGCCCACCGGCCGTGCTAGCCATTCGGTTCTCGAATGGTCGAGTTAGTTGGGTTCAATTGAAAAACACCGGACCGTCCTGTCCCGCCCCAGACTTCTCTCAGTTGCTGGGCCGTGGCCCGAGGCCCATGGTTTACTAGCTAGCGTGGCGCAACCCTGTGTTCGAATACTCTCACAAAAAAAAACAAGCCTGTGTTTGAATGTCTCATGGGCCCCACACAGGGTAATTGCACTGCTGTCTTTGTTACAGCGAAAATTTCCAAACCCCCACTTGAACATATTTGGATCACTGGGTGCCATTTTGCAGAAGAACATTTTCATATTCAGGTGAGGATATTTATATCAATAATTAAGAACAAAAACACATTTATAGATTTTTTTCCTAGGTTCACGAGAACATTATTTTTATGTTTCAAAAGAAAATTTTTATAGGTTAAGGAGAAAATTGTTCGAACTCAACAGTATGGCGAAATATGTTCCTGGTTGAAGGGGGGAAATGGTCTAAGGAGAAGGAAAACGTTTAGCAAAAATGCTCAATGTTTTATGTTTAGGAGAACAAAATATTTTAGCATCACAGGAATGGTGACCCATGTTCAGGGAAAATGTCCAAAGTGAGTTCATAAAAATATTATAGCATCACGAATATATTGATGAATAAAATGACCATTTCTTCCTTTGTTTTGTTCTTTGAAACTAAACCGACATGCTACATCAGGAAGTTTGGTTCTCCTTTCATGTCAAATCAGTCTCTGGCAAATTATTTGAACAGGAAGTGAGGTTGATTAATTGGCATTTCACGAACCACCACTACTTGTCAAGTGTGCTTGTTCTCTTTGTATGGGTTCCAGTTCTGGGTGCAATCATCAACACAAGCTGCAGCAGCACCGGCATCAGTTGTCCCTTCATCAAAGTGTAACAATTTTAGAAGCACAATGCATACATGTCTTCTCTCTCTCAAAAAAAAAAATGGATACATGTCTGTACAACAAGTCAACGAGTACAAAACTGGTTTTTTGAGGAAAAAACGGGAGGGTACAAGCCCCTACTTTGCTTTTATTAACGAAAGTAAGAGTTTACAACAAGCATCACGAAACAAAAAAGTTACAAAGAAAATCACGAAACAAAAACAAGTCAACGAAAACTGGTTGTATGAACTATGAATGCAAGGTTGCTGTAATAAGCGCCTTGCTTATTACCGTCAGTGATCTGGTCACGCCGCAGATGGAGGAGGTGAAGCAGATCTTGGAGCAGTCGGCAGCACCGAACGTGGCGTCGTGCACCTTGTCGGAGACGACAGCGGCACAGGTCTCCACGAACTTGACTGTATAGAACCACCCAGAGGATGGGCGTGGCCCTCTCTGCAGCCGTGGCAGCAGTCGCTGAAACACCCTGCGAACCCTGCGAACCCGGCCACCTGCTGCTGATGCTGACCTGACAGCATGATGAGCATGCTGTATAGAGTAGCATGCGTTCGCCCCCGGCCTATCGCCAGGCTGGGGCCATGGACGCTGAACTGCTGGAGCGGGGACGTTCGTGGACCCGCTCGCCCACAAGACCCATACGGGAAATGGACTACATGCTGCACTCCATCGACGACTGGGAACATCGCCGCTCCCGCTCGCCGGCTGTCCACGGGCGTTCTTAGACCTCCCCTATCCGTCAGCGATAGCCTCTGGTGAGCTCGGATCCCATTGCTGATTTCTACTGTGACCCGGTAGATTTTGGTGGCTGTCGCTCCTAGGAGGATGACCCAATGCTCCATGAATCCTTCCGTACCTGGACCTCCACTGGGGCTGACCCGCGCTACTTGCCTGAGGATGAAGGCGGCTGTGGTAGAACTGACCAATTTATAATAATACAAGTACAATGTCAACCACCAGAGTGGTCACGTTGTTATACTTGAGCCCATATAAACCCGGTAGTGCATCGAGTGTCACGAAGGACCTCGAAACATAATCAACATAC